CTCCAAAGTGCTGGGATTATAGGAGTCCCACCACGCCCGGCATTTCTTCCTTTCGTTTAGAAACATTAACATTGAGAGGGCAAGACAGACTGAGAGGACAAAAGGTAATTATTAAATCTGTTGTAGAGACAACTGGTAGTGACCCTGACCCCCAATTTTTTTGAATAGGGCCCAGGCAACGCTCCCACCTGGGCCTCCCAAAGGATTAAGGTTACAGGTGTGAACCGCGGTGCCCGGCCACGGGCCCCCACTCTGGGACGCACTTCTCTAAATTATAACAGCTTCTCAGTTCTCCTTCCCCACCTTGACCCAGCAGTTCCCAAACCCCATCCTTTGAATCCTCCCTTCCCAACTTTGTCTACCTTCCTACTGTCTACCAGTACGAGTACGTATTTTGTATTTTTATTTAACTTGGCTTGTGTTTTGGGCGCCCAGAAATTTAAAAAGGTAACTTTCTATCACTTCCACTGGCAGAGAACCTGATCACTGGTGCTGTGGACAGAAGGCAAGAGCGAAATTAAACACGATGAATATGGAAAACGGTTACTTCCTCCCAGCCAGGCACTGACACCGGCCAAAGGCTTTGTTGTAGAGGGTACTTGCCCTTCATTGTAAAAAGAGATGGGGGTGGGAGAGGTGTTAGGGACACCCCCACCCCCTGCGACTTTCACGTTGCCGTAAGCAGCAGAAGGACTGAAGGAACAGAGAATGGAAAGAACAGCTCTCGGACTGGGGGGATTTGCTGCTGAATCTGCGCACGTGCTCAGTCACCTTGGGGACCTCCAGGTATGGGCTCTGCACACTTTGGGGGACACAGTTTATTCTAGAGCGAGCTCTTCTTAAGTGCAATGCCACCGTGCTACCCTCTGTTCATCTTGATGGTGCCCATGAAGTGGTACAGCTCATCACAACACCTGCAGGCCAGAACTTTGCCGCCCTGAGCCCGACGCGTAGACTTCAGGCACAGCAAACTTCCTGTCATTCTCCAAGAGTCCCGGGCCTGTCTCACCTTCAGGCTTTGGCACACACATGGTGCCTCTGCCTGGTGCACCCTCGCCAGCTCCCCACCCACCTACTCTCATCTTCAAAATCCTGCCTCTTTCCTCTGGGAGTGACCAGGCTGCTCTCAAGTCAGACTCAGAAGATGCCAGCTCCATGCCAGCTCCCCAATCCTATAGGTCTTGGGTTGAGTTTTCTCCCCATTCAAAAAAATTGAGGGGCAGGGTCACTACCAGATCACTTGATTACAAGCAAAATAGGAGCATGACTTTTTTTTCCTGGGATGTTGCCATTCTTCTCTGAAAATAAAATATGTTCCAGGAGTTGGGATTGAAAATGTGGGATTTCATAATTTATAATTTTTTTAAAATGATGGTCCGGAGATTGCACAATCCTCATCAGGACTTCTTTTCCCCTCTGACTCTGTGGTTTTCATCTAAGCTGACGCAGCACTCGAGACAAGCAAAGATAAATCTCTCTCGGGCTGGACCATGATGTCCTCACAGCCTTGAAAGAGGGACATCTGTGCAAGAGTACCCATCATTGCACAGCCTGGGTAGAAGGCAGGGCCCCCCCAGGGTGATGTCTCAGGATTCCCTGCCTGCTGCTGCTGGGACCAGGGTGGCATGTCAACGCTGCCCACAAATGCCAAATGCCAGGCTTCCTTGCACCCACGGAGAAGGCCAGTCACACATTCTGGAGTGACGCAGCCTGAGCTGATGCTTCAAGAAGGAAGTCAAAAAAGAGGCCACAGTCAAGAAGTCAAACATAAAGTTACCATGTGACCCAGCAATTCCCTCCTAGGTAAACACCCAAGAGATATGAAAACATACACCCACGGGATACCTTGTACACAAATGTTCACGCAGAAACCTTCGTAAAAGCCAAAGGTAGAAACAGCCCAGATTTCCTTCAGTGGAAGAACAGAGAAACAAAATGTGGTCTATTAATACAACAGAATATTACTTAGCCATAAAAAGGGATGAAGTCTAACACACATCACAACATGGATGAACCTTGAAACCATGCTGCTGAGTGAGAGAAGCCAGACACAAAAGGCCACACCCCATTTATATGAAAGGTCCAGAATAAGCAAGTTCATAGAGACAGAAAGGAGATTAGTGGCTACCAGAGGGGCTGAAGGGAGGACAATGGGGAGTGATGCCCAGTGAGAACGGGGTTTCCTTATGGGATGATGAAATGTTCTAGAAGGAGCGGTGGTAGTTGCACAATACTGCAAATGTCCTAAATGCCACTGAATTGTACACTTCAAAATGGGTTAAATGGTAAATTTTATGTTTATGTGTATTTTTACCACAATATATTTTTTTCAGGAAAAAGAAAAAAAGAACATGGTCCATCCTATCAGCCACCACCCAGATCTCCCTGTCCCTTGCCTGTCCCAGAACTCAGCGTGCTCTAAGATTTTACAAGGTGCTCTGGGTCCCAGTCCCATGAAGGTCTGAGTATCTGTTCTACTCAATGAACTGAAGACGAAGTGAAGTAAATTATGCCCAGACTGAATTTTCCTTTCTTGACAAGCCATAGGCCCCTTTGAGGGATCCTGGGTTTGCACATCTGGGACTCATCAAAAACCAGTGTGTTTGCAACAAAAAGGAAGAAAGAAAGAAAGAAAAAGCCTCCTGAGTCAGGCACAGGCAGACATGCAGGCACCTCCCACACACAGCAAATGACGCCGGTGACAGAGGAAAGAAAAGTTCCAGTTCCCACAGGCCAAAGAGGTCAGTGCTCTGCCTCCAAAAACTTTCAAATGCAGCCTACAAAGGGCCAGATACTTAACTTGGGGTCTTTTGAGGGTTGAAGCGCAGGGGCTTTAAGGGACCTAAAGGTCTTCTTCCCTCACTCAGGCCTTCCCAGTCAAGCCAACTCCCCTCTCTAGGCTGGAGGGAGGACTCTGGGAGCCAGCACTGATCTGGGCTCCAGGACAGGGTTCTCAGGGCATTGGTACCTGTACGTGCCAGCAGTGTTAAGCCCAAGCCCAGGGTCAGTTGATCCCCTTCCAGCCTCACCCCAGTCGGGACCAGACACCCAGATCCCTGCCAACGTTAAAACCCCACCCCCCCCACATGGCACAAGAAGCCTCGACTAGTAGCCAGCTCTGCCGTGACAGTCATGTGGCCGGTCATTAGATGGGCACCTTCCCCCAGAATCTGGCACAGGGCCCAGCCAGGACGGCAGCTCTACCCACCCTGGCTGTGTCATGTCAGGCATGTACCTTAGTAATTCTGAGCCTCTACTTACTCCTTGTAAAAAGCACCCAGCTCATAGAACAGGCAGTGAGCTCTTCCGTGGCGCCCCTGGGCATGTCTGGTCTGTAGCAAGCATCATATAAATGTCAGCTGCTTGCATTGTCGCGAAGGGCATTACTAAGATTCCTACTCTTACACCTTAAGAGACTCTGCAAAAATCAAAATCACCTTCTTGGTTTCTCCTCCCTGGGTACGTTGTCCAGCAGTTTTACCTGGACCTCCTCTAAGATGAAACATGACCTGTGTGAAGGTCAGGTTCACATGGGGAGGTGGCAGTGGGCAGAGAAGTGTCTTAAAGAAAGCAGGGTCAGAAGTAAAGACGGGACCCCCGGGGGGGCAGCAGCATTCCATACCAGCAGGGGAATCTTAGGCAGCACTTCACCTTGCTGAGCCTCAGTTTCCTCAGCTGTGAAGTGGGCATCAAGAGGCCTACTGCCCAGGGGTGTTGCAGCGATGACAGTACAAGTAAAGTGAGTGGCACAGACTGCGTACCTGCTGCATGGGCAACACAGCCCCACACCCGCTCCTTCTCCTGAGTGGAAACAGCCAGAACAGGGGCAGAAGCAGAAAATCAGGTGCATACAACCCCAGGATCTCTGGGACCGGACAGCCGACAGTCACAGCTCATGGCCTCAGTCTGCTGGAGAAGGCCACGCCCCAGTCCTGTTCTGCAGGCTCTCTTCACCGTCACACTCCACACCCTGGATGGGGAGAGCAGACTCACCCCATCTACCAGGGCAAGGGGTCCAAAAGCCCAAAGGGGAAACTCACAACCCCACTCTTGACTACAAGGCAAGCCAGGCATTGCACAGGTTCCCAGATGCTTCTCTCAGCCAGAGCAGCAACTCACATTTTGGCTGAGAGACACCCAATTCAAGTTGGACTGCGACAAGCAGGCATCAGCAAAGTCCGCCCTGGCTTGTCCACCAGCCCAGCCTTAGCAAGGGAGGCTCTGGGTCTGCACCACGTGAAGCACCAGGCCTGGCTCTGTCCACATGGGACGGCTGATCTCCCCCACACTCCAGAGCGAGCCCCCTGCTTCCAGGGTAACTCTCCCCACGCAGGAGTTATGCAGGTGTGCACTCTGGCTAAAGAGATCCAGAAACGTGTTCTCCCAAACTGCAGAACCCTGACATGGCCCCACGTCTCTACACATCCATTTGAAGCTCTAGAGACAGGCAGAGCTGGGTTCCAGCCTGACCCTCAGCATCTTCATCTGAAATATGGGAAGAAGGCTACCTTGCAGATGAAATCAGAGGGGCGTGACCCTCTAAGCTGCAGCGCTGAGTGCACATGCCATTGGATCACCCTGGCCCTCCAGCCATGAGTAGGACACATTCTAATGTCTGCCATATCCTTGTCATCAGCTTTCCAGTTACTGACACCCCCTATGAACACAGGAATGCAACAAATGCTAATGAATCGCACAAGGAAGGCAAGAGAGTAAACAGCCTCCAAGGAGAAGGGATCTGCGCCCATATCATTGTTGAATCCCGGCTCCCTGGCGTCCTGGCTGTAAGGTCCTGGGCAAATGAGTTGTTCTCCCTGAGCCTCAGTTTCTCCATCTGCAAAAGGGCATGCCGCAAATCTAGGTTCCGCAGTGCAAGCAGAGCACTCAGCGTGGTGCCCACACACAGTCAGCCCTGCGAGGTGGCATCTGCTCTAGCTACTCCAGCTTCTGGGGAGGGTAATAGTTTGCAAAAGGGAGAGGGGCCCGGAAGTCACACTTACTCCTCAGGGCTCCAATTACCAGCTCGCTGGCGTCTCCCGCGTCGAGCAGCGGTAGCGGCGGCGACAGCGCGGGCAGGGCAGGCACAGCGGGTACAGCGGGCAGACAGCTCAACGCAGGCAGCTGGATACGCCCAGGGATGCGAGTGGGTGCCGAGGCTCAGCGCACCGCCTTTTGTAGGCTGCCAGGAGTCCCCGAGGCCACGCCCCCAGGTTGGCGGCAGCGCTGATAGGACAGAGCAGCCCCGGCCCCGCCCCCCGGCCCCGCCCCACAGGCTGCACGGGCTGAAAGGAGGCGGGGGCCGAGGCGCCGGCGCCGGGTGGGCGAGCAGGGCGGGGCCGCTCGCCTCCAGGGCCGGCTAGGGACAGGGACACGCTCAGCTTCATTGGCCACACAAGTGTAGTTTTCACTGAGCGCTTACTTTGTGCCTGGCGCGGTGCCAAGCACTTTCCACCAGGGGCATGCAAATTTACCAAATCCCAGCTCTCTACAGCTCAACTGGAAAATGGGACTTGCGAGGCGACCTCCCAGGATTTTAGCAAATGAAATCCGCAAGGGCTGGGCGCTGTGAACTGTGGCGCCGTGCAGAGTACACAGTTGCTGAGTTGACTCCCGCCCTCTACACGTGCTTCGAAAGCTGGCGCACACTCTTCCCAATTTGCAGAGGAAGAAAGGAAGACTTACCACAGGATGGGGGCGCTAGCACAGGGGTCCAGGCTCTGCGCTTTAGTTTCCTTACCCCCAGGAATCCAGGGAGGTGGAAATCATCCGATTTCACAGATCCAGTTGCTGAGGCTTAGAGAAGAGCATGCCCCAAGTCCCGTAGCTAGGAGCAGTGCAGCCCGGGAACCAGTTTGGCCCAAAGGCATTTAGCATTCTTAACCTATGCAGGTATATGCGTAAATCATCTTTGAGCCAGACGAAATCACCTGTGTAAATCCACGTTCCTTAAGAATGGAGGGACTCCCCCAGCCTCCTCCCTCAGTCACAGAATGTGGACCTGTATGCAGGCATGGTGGGTGCTGGGGCCCAAGGGCACTGCTCATCTCTGCACCAAGACATCAGAATTAGCTCCTTCAGCATTCAGTCGTTCCCCAAATACCCATCGAGTCACTCCGTGTGAGCCCTGTGCTATGCAGCAGGGACAAACAAGACACCTCTGCGATCTCAGAATCTGCAGCCCCCAGGAGTCAGGCACGTGGTAGAAACAAGGATGGGGAATGGGTGGGACAAGGACGTTGGAAGGCTGCCTGTGTGATGTGGACTCCGACTGGGAGGCTTTGTCCAAGATTTTGGTGCGGCTCAAAGGCAGATACAGAACAGTATAGATTGGCCTGGGGCGGTGGTTCATGCCTGTAATCCGAGCACTTTGGGAGGCTGAGGTACCTACCTCACCTGAGGCTGGGAGTTTGAGACCATCCTGGCCAACATGGTGAAACCCTGTCTCTACTAAAAATACAAAAATTAGTGGGGCATGGTGGTGCATGCCTGTAGTCCCAGCTACTTGGGAGGCTGAGGCAGGAGAATCACTTGAACCTGGGGGGCACAGGCTGCAGTGAACCAAGATCCCGCCACTGCACTCCAGCCTGGGAGACAAGAACAAAACTCCATCTTAAAAATATAATAATAGCGATTCCTCAAGGATCTAGAAATAGAAATTCCATTTGACCCAGCAATCGCATTACTGGGCATATACCCAAAGAACTATAAGTCATTCTACTATAAAGACACATGCACACGTATGTTCATTGCAGCCCTGTGTACAATAGCAAAGAACTGGAACCAACCCAAATGCCCATCAATGGTAGACTGGACAAAGAAAATGTGGTACATATACACCATGGAATACTGTGCAGCCATAAAAAACGATGAGTTTGTGTCCTTTGTAGGGACATGGATGAACCTGGAAACCATCATTCTCAGCAAACTGACACAAGAACAGAAAGCCAAACCCATATGTTCTCACTCATAGGTGGGTGTTGAACAACGAGAACACGTGGACTCAGGGAGAGGAGCATCCCACACTGGGGGCAGTTGGGGGGGCGGCTAGGGGAGGGACAGCAGGGGGTGGGAAAGAAGGGGAGCGTGGGGAGAGATAACATGGGGAGAAATGCCAGATACAGTATGCATCTAAAGTAAAATAAATGAAATATATATATATATAATAATAATGCAGATGTTCTCTGTTACCTTTGTCTCTGTCTCTTTTTTCTTTCTCTTCTTAGTCTTTGAAGCATCATTCTTCAGATCCACTCACTGGCGTGCAGTCATCCAACACATATTAATCACCTACTATGTGCTGAGCTGTTTCAAGCACTGGAGGGTTATCAGCGGTGAAGACTGTTCTGAAACAGCAGCCCTTGGATTGACAAAGGACAAAGCCAAGAGGAGAGGAGATCTGTATTGACAGATGCCTTTGGGGCCTGACACGATGGCTCTGGCCTGTAATCCCAGCACTTTGGCAGGTGGATCACTTGAGCTCAGAACCAGCCTGGGAAACATGGCTGAGATGGGAGGACTGCTTGAACCTGGGAGGCAGAGGCTGCAGTGAGCTGAAATCAAATCACTGCACTCCAGCCTGGCTGACGGAGCAAGACCCTGTCTCAAAACAAAACAAAACAAACACACAAGACAACAGGAAAACCAATGCCTCTGAGTACCCGGCCCAAAGCATCATACGGCCAAATCCTGCCACCCCCAGCAACCCACCAGGCTGGTGGCATTACTAGCCCCATTTTTCCAATAAGGGAACTGAGCACAGAGAGTGTAAGTCACCTCCCTGAGGCCACACAGCTTCTGAATGGAGGATTTGGGATTTGAATTCACATTCTCACCCACTCGGCTGCCGTTGCCCATGACCAGGAAACCTTGGGTGCAAGGGAACGGAATAAACTGGGTCCCCACTTCATCCTCACTCCAGCAAAGGGGAAGCTACACGGAATCAGCCTTTTCATAGGCCCAGCATACGGATAGGTGGCCAGTGGTCAATAGCGAAATGTTTGCCACTTTGCTCATCCAACCCTCATCTCCTAACAGATCCTTTGTCTAGCCACCTGCAGGCTCCTCAGCAGCCCAGCATGGCCCTGCAGAGACCCAGCCCAGCCCCGACGCTCCAAGGACACCCGTGGCAAAGCTGCAACCAGAGACCACTGCTATGCAGGCTGCAATTGCTGTCTGGCTGCATCATCCCTGGGGCAGATTGAGTCCTTAGTTTGCTGGTTTGTGCCGTCATCCGGTATCAGGCTCAATTCAAACCCCAGCTCCTCCACTTCCACGTTGTTGGCCTTGAGCAAGTCACTTCATAGCTCTGTGTTGCATGCCCCATCTGTGAAGTGAGTGTGGTAATGATGGCATCTCTCTCTCTGTGGGCATAAATGGTTAATAGATGGGAAATAATACACGGCCTGACACACAGGAAGTGTTGGTTAATACCGTTATCATTAGAGCCAGCAAAGCAAAAAGAGAGAGAGGAGTTGGGTGGTGATCAACTTTTCCATCATGTTGCAATCTCAGAGCCTAACTACCAAAAAAAAAAAAAAAATGTGTTTCATGGGCAAGGGGGATCCCTGGGAAGTCCAAATGGGAGACCACCAAGTTGTACCTAGGAAAGGAGCAAGATGGCCAGTCTTTGTGACCAGTGACCTGGGGTGGGACTGGTCACCGATACCCTTGGAAATCCCAGCAAAGGATCCTATTTTGCTACCTAGGCAGCGAGTTAAATTTTGGACGGTTTGAGGCAAAGGAAAAAAATCATCCTTCTGGTCACAATGAAGCCCAACCTGGAAAAACGAACAGACAGGCCTGGTGGGGCCACCCCAGAGGGCCCAGCCCTCTGCCCACCCTCTCTCAGGACCCAGATGGGCCGTCGGAAGGGCCGCAGAACGATGGGTGGGGCCGGTGGTCATAAATGTTATTTACGTGATGTCAAGATCAGGATCTTTCTTTCCTCTTAGTGTGGTTGCTGCAGGGCTTCTGTCCTCACACCAATTTCTTATTCACCATTTATTTTATTCTATGAACTGGACATAAAGAGCAAAGGCCGGAGAGTCCCAGCTTCTCATTTGTTCCTGCCACACCCATTCAGCAGCTGCAGAATGTCACCAGCCCACGGTCTGGCATCAAAGACCACTAAATGCCTGGGCAACATAGTGAAACCCCGTCTCTATAAAAAGTACAAAAATGATCCAGGCATGGTGGTGCATGCCTGTAGTCCCAGCCACTCGGGAGGCTGAGGTGGGAGGACTGCTTGAGCTCAGGAGGTCGAGGCTGCAGTGAGCCATGACTGCACCACTGCACTCTGCACTCCAGCCGGGGAGACAAACCCAGACCCTGTCTCAAGAGAAAATCAAAACCAAATCAAAAAACCCACTAACAATTTGAGGCGAGGGGACATAGGGGTGCCATTTTGTGATGGGTGATGTGTGATATGGTACATCTTTCCAAGTCTTTTCCAGAAGACTTGGAAAAGTTGTGCTACCTCTGTATTAACAGGTGCTAATCACGATCCTCAAAGGTGCTCCGTGGGACCCACTCCTCTCCCCTTGTTGGAAAGGAAGGGGCAAAGGTGACATCTTGTACATCTTACACTGGCAGGTCATTCTTTGGAGGCAGTGGGGACTCTATTAGTGGGGAGCTCTGGGGCAAGGTCTTGATCAATTGGAGTTGCAAGTAACAGAAATCCACTCAAGTCAGCTGAAGCAGAGAAGGGAACTGCTTGGGAGGATACCGGGTTATTTTGGAACCAAAGGCAAGTAAGACTCTCGAACAAGTAAAGAGAACCCTGGAAAGGCATCAGGCCCTCTGGCAGAACTTTCTATTTCTTCCCTCTGCGGACACAGCTCCCTTCTCCCTCTCTAGCCAGGCCTCACCAATGCCGTGTGGACATGGCCATCCCATCAGTGGGGCGTTGGATCTCCTCTGTCCCAGGGCCCAGCTCAGGCTGTGCCTCACCATCTCCCACTTTAGCTTCCCAATTGTCTGCTGGGAGAGGTTTCTACCGGCAGTTCAACCGAGTGAGACCGACAGATGTTATCAGGCTGCACAAACGTGATGGAACAGTGCTGTGAGCTGGTGGGCTTGATGACAGCAAAGATTCTGTGCAGGGTCTGTAGACACAGCCAGAAAAAAAGCCCAAAATTGAGTGGGACAACAGCTTTGGGTAA